GTGACTTCATCAGTTCAAGGACTAATATTCGGTTGGTCGTCCTGCGTTCGTTCGAGTATCACGCCATTAGACCTTTTGACTGAGGTGGAACCGCATGTTCGTCACCACCAACTTGTTTTGTTCGCCCTTGGCACTTGGAAGCTTGCTGGTTCGCGTTGTCCCAAAAGCCGACTTTCTCGTTCCTATCGCCAGCCACCACGATCACGTCGTGTCTGAGAATCTTGTTCACCACCGCTTGCAGATCGGCGTAAAACTCGCCCTCATGGCATCTTCTTCGCATACCGCAATGGCAGGTGGATTGAAAACAGCTTGCTGCAATCGCGATTATGCGAGACGCAAATTGACTGACTGCAACCACTAAAGAAGAACAACGTACCCTCCATCAGAAGGTCCTATCAGCCTTGCCGAATTACCTGTGAGGCCACTGTGGCACACTTACTGATATTACTATTCGGACACAGGAACTTTCGCCGACGTTGATCCGGTGAGGGGGATAAGAATTTTCGAGCGATGGGTAATGTCTGCCTTGCAACGGGACAGAATGCTTACCACATGGGATTTACTTCCGGGGAAGGAGTCAAATAACATACGCACGTACCAACTGACGTTCCAAATTATTGAATGATGCTAGATTTCAGTTCGTGTACTCTTCGTCCGAATCAAAGCACTTCAACCCTTTGCGCTCGATCACCGCGGACGCCGTAGCTTTAATTTTTCTGGGTATTCATAAGGTTTATTCATACAAACTGGTCTCCATTTGTAGCCTGGTTTATTAATGAAATCCCTGCCTCTTGTCTTTCACCCACTCAGATTTAACAGCAAGTGGTATTGATGACCTTATTACAATTGGGTCACTCTTGCCATAGGTTATATGTGACCATTTTACGAGTTTGCCATACCCGTCCTCAGCTATACCCTGATAACCTTTCATGGTAATGTTTACGGTTGTTAATTCGTCACATCTGACCTCCAGATGTAAAGATCGTTCTCATATCCGCAACCTGGATGGCGACAGGTAGCAACAGGTAAGTTTACCGGCGTCGTTGCGTAAAGATTAAAATACTGGTTCGTACGTTGGAGCGCATTAAATGGTTCATAACTCCACCAAAACTGGATTATGACTGTGATCCAATGCCTTGACAATAATGATGACAGTAGCGGCGACTGGTATGATAATGGCCTTCACCGTAACGCTTGCGATGTTTCTGAAAATGACATTGATGATTATACTAATAATGTGACGTGAATAAGTGGAAGTAAATGTACGTGCTGATTTTATGATTAAAAGAAGGAAAGAGCAACAGAAAAGATGTATTTTACATAGATGGATATGAAGTTGATCGATTCCTCTTATATTTTTGTGCTACCATCTGCCGATTGAAAAATAGCTTCTTTCCTTGAGACTTGAAGCGGGAAAGAAGCTCAAAATTTTCATACCTGAATACTAGTGTTCCTGAGCAAAGGTTCTTTATAATCAGTCAAATTGAGTTCGGCCAACTGTGGATAGCTGCATTTGGTTACAAACAATTCTGCAACGTGAACAGAAGAATTTATGGTTCATGAGAGCATAGCCTTACCTGACTCGCTGAGAGAAATGACCTTCTGAAAATTTAAGGCCGAATTAAAAAATATGCATTTAGTCTGATATGTCAGTTTTGCCAAGTGTTTCGATGAAGCGTACAAGTTGTCTTGTCTGCTCTTTATCTCCCTGATGTAGCTCTTCTGTTTTGACAGAAGCTCCTTCCTGGTCGGA